CAAGGCTTCCTCTTCCGCCCACCCACCATTCGGCTTCCCCCTCGGCCCCACAGGGTTCCCTGCATCTATGCTCACGCATGGACACTCTCCTGGACTCCGTCGAGTACCACCGACAGCAAAAATCTTTCAATTTCTTGTTGACAGGGCGTGCACGACGTCGCGCACGCTGGGCTGGCTGCACCTGCATACCACAGAAAAGCTGCCTAGGCTATTGTACTTCAGGGGATGCCCTCTTTGATGGTGGCACTTCCACCTCAGTCCGCTCGTCCCTCGAGATTCGTCCCCCTTTGCTCGCAATCGACGTTTCGGCGGGCCGGCCTGCTGCTTCCTTGCCTCGGGGTCGTGGGCGGCGCTGCCACGCTGGCAGCACCATTTCTGTATTCGTGCCGCCCTACACCATCCTCCGCGCCTTCTTAGCGCTCAAGTAGCACCTCCTGGCTTCGCCAGCGACCCTTGCCCTGCCAGCACCCGTACGCTGGAGCGCACTCCCGGCGGTGGCAGCACAGTACTATCTGGTGTTCCAATAAACAGGGGTAGCCACAGGGATGGTATGGTACATGCGGCGCAAGCAGTTTGCGCCTCGTGGTCCGGTGAGTGCTCGTTGATTCTGAGGATGTATTAAAAATCCCACTTATTCAGCTTTGACGAACGCCGTCTTCTGCGTGCAGCACGCGAGCGCTCGCCGCGTGAGCCATATTATCCCACGACATAACTCCGTTATTTGCGCGGCACGGTGAAGCGCCGGCCAGCCGAGGTTCCAGCAGCCATAATTGCACGGTTGCATTGAGCAGCCGTCAATCTCTCTCCAGCTGTCTCCTCATCCATGGCCTCATTCATAGTATCCCTCCGTCTTCTAATTGTGTCCAGACTCCACGATTAACGAGAAAAGGAAAATTCGTGCGTTAATCGTGCATTATTCGATGTTTTCCAGCATGCTGTACCATGTACTTTTTCTTCAACACAGACTTATTTCCCTCGTGTGTGGTGATGTCAAAGCAACTATTATGCGTGTGTCTTTTGTCAAGGTTCCTGAGTCGTCAAAATCGACGGGATCGTCCAAATGCGTGATAACTGTTCTGATGCCCGTGCAGCAAGCAATCGATCTGTAGACCTCCTATATATTTCTCCGCCACATGAACATTAAGATGACTCTGATTTGGCTGCTTCCAAGTGAACACACCATTAGCATGGACAGACTCGGCCTAATACATGATAATCGGATTTTGATGCATGCAGGAAATGCTACCAGTTTAGACGGTCTCGCACTTCCATTGCATTAAAAATAAATACACTGTATCACATTACAATTTCTGAAGTCTTTTGAGGTTTCTGGTCTGAAGTTTGAATTTTGACATTGTGCGATGAGTCGAGTCTAACACTACTCCACTGCCATACTGGGCTTATACGAGACACTTTTTCGCAGTGTTTGACTCGCCGCTCAGAATCTCATCAAATTATATATTTTCGGAATTGGTTGGATGTACTGATCCCGTTTACGACGATAGACCACCTACTTGAACTCCTCTTCTTTCTCGTCGAGCCCATTTATTGTGATTCCAATTTTGTGCTTGTGTTATTCTCTTGCATTATCAGAGATTCTTGAGCACCAATCAACCTGGTTCATAAATACAAGACACTTTATCACTTCAGATTTCTCTGAAACTTGTCTGTCGTGCAGCACGAACGTAAACTTGTCAATTCCAAGTACCATCAGTAAGGGCGTCACCTCCGTGACAGAGCGTGACACTCTCTCCTCCCACCAGACGACAGAGCTACGACAAGCATTCTCTGATATCCCTCCTCACTATCGGACTGGACGTACTTCATTCTCACCTAAATCTAGTCTCTGTATTCGCTCCTCTCTGGATTTTATCCTGTGGATCTTGTCCTACAGCATGTTTTCACCCCCCACCAAAGTGGCTCTAGAAACAGGCAGGAAGCCGCTACCGGTCCTCACCCAGCCTCGGGCGCTGTGGAAGTGCGACTCGCCGCGCTCGTCGCCTTCGTGTCACACGCCAGTTGCAGGCTTCAACCAAACGAATCAACATGGCGCGTTTTCAATTTCTTTTATTCCTGCATTGCTTGTTTCTTGCACATTTTATTCTTGACCCTATTCTACCCACTCCCAGGCTGTCCAATTCCATCTGCAGCTGCGTGGCCAAGATTATTTGCTTTGCACTGCCAAGTCAACTCAGTCGAGACAGCAAGATTATTTCTTCGGCCACACAGGGATTCTTTTTATTGAGCTTTTGAACTTTGCTACAAGTTCTTATACTTACCAATCTGATACCATACAGACTCTTTCTTTATCTCTACATACCACCAATGCGACGTGCCAGACCCGAGTTGTCGGCCATCTCGGACTACGCCGGGGATTGAGCCAACAGTGGCTTGGGCCCCCACTTGTCAACGTCTTGCGGGGGATGTGCTCTCCCTATTCCGTCTTTGCGTAACTCCCGGATGGTTTGTTCAACAGAGGTTTCGCCCTAGCAGAGGTGTTTCCACGGACTCTTACGTACCGAGCTGACATTTTATTTTTATTTGTTTGTAACGGGGATCGCTCTTTGCCTCCCGCCACCACCTATACATCTATTTCTGAGCAACCACGCGTGAATCCACATTCCTTTTCACACATCTGAGCTGAGTTTTCCATTTTATTCTTAGTACTGACTGTTCTACACCTAGATCTATTCTTATTCACCCCGCATCCACATTTTGCTGCACGTCTCCGTACCTCAGCCGGCACGACCTTGACATCACTCGGTCCCCGTGAGGACCACTTATCTCTTCTTCAGCGCCCTGCGGCGATCTACTAGACACCATCACTGAAGTCGTTTCGCGTCCTGAGCAGTTCTACGTGCAGTCACAGTCGCATGCAATGGCCAAGATGCACGACACGAAGTGGAGCTGCGGGGAGAGGTGATAAGGGACTCATTTTAGATCTCTGGTGCGTACGCTATGTGGTCGAGCCTATTATACATGCTGATCTTCCGTATTTCTCTTGCAAGCTCCGCCAGATGCAATTTTTTCCTACACTGCGGATTGTGCATGGGCACCACGCCTGTCCCTCAGACAGCGCCATAGCCGTCTCTTTCCGGGCCTTTGGCATTACCCGCACCCCCACCTATGTCGCCGGCGGCGCCTTCCCCCCGTCCGCGTCGCCACCAATCAAGAGGTCGCTATGCGCGCGCCCGTAGTGCGACGTGCGGAGCTGCGAGCGATGGACCAAGGCCTTGTCTTGTCGACAGGCGACTTGCCATTGTTCGCTGCGACGCCCTCGTCTATGAGGTACTTGCTGCGACCGTGAATGCCGCTGCATCGCGGTGACGTGTGGCGGTCATCATCCGGTCTTCTGCATGCAGCCAGCGACCGATTCGCAGCAGGTTCCGTCTAGCCCGCGGCGCAGCTCCTGTGAACGGGCGAGCACATCGCTGACTACCCCTATGCGCTCGAGCGGTGCGCGTGCGCGTGCGAGAGGCACGACGCTGAGCCTGAGCGCTGCGCTCACGGGAGGTGTGATGCTGTACGAGCGGTGTTCCTCTCGCCAACTACACCGCACATCGAGGCTGATACCCTGAAAGTGCTTGCACTGGTGCGTGGCGCACGTCGAGCCGGGTGAGGAGCGACGAAATTGGCCGCCGCGTAGTCGCAGGGCGGAAGGGGGTAGAGGATGTATGCACAGAGCATGATGCAATCTCGTGGCTGATTCGTGCTGTAGGGGCTTGAGGGGGGCAGTGTGTCCACAAGGATTGTGCGCGCGGGTGGTGGAAGAGGCCACTGCAGCGCCGGGGCGGGCATGACACCGGAGTGGTGGGACCAACCTCAGACATCCTGTAGGGTGCTCGGCCGTGGTCGTGACCTACTAGAGCTAGAGCGAGGTGCGAAAGCCTGGGGGTAGAAAGGTACGTGAGCAAAATTCGTATCTTAAGGATATTTTGGCCTCGGCATGAACAACTCATTTGGCAGTATGTATGATACAATGATAGGTACCGTCCCTACACTCAGAATTTTTTTCATAATTTTTGAGCCATATTTTGTCATCGTCGTCGTGCACGACGGCGAGAGCATTTGATCGCTGTGCCCCAAATGCGGTTAATGGAGCTCATCGTGGGCAACAGCGGCGGTGGCAACTAGCTGGCTGTCAAATACATGGAGGCCTGTCCGTACGGTGATATATCAGATCGGCCTCTAAGGTAGGGGTTTTTATACATCATCGCCGTACGATGATTAGCGGTCTCTGATATATCATAGGCCCAGGTACAGGTCTATAGGACTAGGGTTTCTGATCACGCCCTGTCAGGAGGATAAGGCTTATCAGCCTCCATAAGACTGATCAGGCTCGGCCAGGCAGATCAGACCCAATCAACCATGATAATGGTCTTTCCAACTTGATCAGCCCCCAAGAACCTGATTTCCTGACCAGGCCATATCCGCGCATGTAGCCTCTGGTCAGCCAAATTCGGATTTTCTGACAATGTTTTACCGCGGGACTTGCTCCTGCGCTCTGCCGTGGTCCAAAACCCGTTTTTCCGACTGCGTATATATCTGGCGGTCCAAGTTGAACTCTCCGCCCCTGCAATCCAGTCTTCTCCCCAACTCTCCGGTACATTATTGCATGCTTGCGTACGATAGTCCGGTCCACAGCTGCACTCTGGCCCCCGGGCGGCCGACAGCGTACCGCTCTCCTCGTATCCCTCCTTCCAAACAGATAATTTCAACACACCCGAACTCAGGCTGGATCGCAATCGATTCGCGTGCTCTATCTATCCGTCTCTACCCAACCCGTGATTCAAGTCCCTCCCTTTGCTACGTACCCCGTTATGCAATCAATTATTGCCTTCTGTCCCCCCCTATCCCTACCGATCTACCTGCATTCGTTGGTTAAATATGCCTGTAATTATGCATACATGTACATGTTCACCTTGCAGATAAAATGAATACATCGTCTGGTCCATCCGTCCAAAATAAAAGACGGGAAAAAAATACTGGGAAAATGGAAATCACCCGACCCCGAATCGAACGGGGACCTTCTGCCAAAGCTCTTCTGCTGGGAATCATCAAGAGTAGCAGACGCACACCCTGTGCCACCGGGTGCATGCTCTACACACCCCAACATCAGAATACGAGGTATCCTTCGGCATGAAGCCGCACATAAAAGTGAACTCGTGATCAAATTTCCATTGTCCAAGTTCATCCCAATGCGTCAAGTAAACTTGATCCTTGCCGATACCTCCTCCTCCGCCAAAAGAAGGAAGAAAAAGAAAAAGAAAAATGTCTCTCTTAGCTGTTGTTATCTAGGTAGCTCAAAAAAAAATTGGAGGAAATAAAAACGATATGATGATTGACCATCACCCGACCCCGAATCGAACGGGGACCTCCTGCACAAAGATCATAATTACATCCGAAGAGGTAGCAGACGCACACCATGTGCCATCGGGTGCATGCTCTGTGCACCCTGTTTCTGGGTAAGAGGTACATCAGGAAGGAACTTCAACCAAGCTAAGGCTCGGCCTCTGTTCAACATCGGCAACGGACAACTTGAACTTGGCATGGCAGCTGGCTCGGAACTTGAAGGACCTTCCTCCTGCCCAACCCTTCGCACCTCCTCGCATGACCACCAAAAGAAGAAAAATAATCGAATAATCGAACACGGATAATGAAATGCGGGATACAAACTCGATGTATGTATGCATAATGGATGGATAAATACTCCTTTGACTTGCGTTGCGTTGCGCTGTGTGTTATGGATGCATTGTAAGTTGTGTAGGATGGACTTGTCCTACGAGACGAGAGTCAATTGGGGAATCGCCACTCAGACAAAAAAAAAAAAAGGGACACCAGGATAGGTAATCGCCCGACCCCGAATCGAACGGGGCCCTTCTGCTGAGACTTCTTTTGGTTTGATCAAATAATTGCAGACGCACACCTTGTGCCATCAGGTGCACGCTCTACAGGTACACTTCAGCATGAAACCGCACACGATCAAATTCAATTCCGACCCGGCAAGCGCTCTCAAACTCGACCCTTGCCGATACCTACATCTCCACCAAAAGAATGAAGAAAAACAATTAAATCTCCCTAGTTGCAGTATCTACGTAGGTAGCTAAAAAAAATCAGACCGGCGAAATCAAAAAAGAAAAAAAAAATAAGATCACCCGACCCCGAATCGAGCGGGGTCCTTCTGCTTAAACATCCCATCATCAAATGCAAGAGTAGCAGATGCACACCTTGTGCACGCTCTCCCTCTCCATAATTCATGTCTTGGATACGTAGATAGAAAATCAAAATTGAGCGAAATCAGAAAATCAGAAATTTAAAATCAGAAAAAGAAAAGGTTCTGGGAGACTGTCACATCACCCGACCCCGAATCAAACGAGGACCTTCTGCATAAATTCTACACTGGGTTCTCAAAGGTAGCAGACACACACCCTGTGCCATCGGGTGCACACTTTATGAAATAAGAGCAGCCGAACTTAAGTGCCCACCGAAAGTATCCCCCTCCGCACTCATGAGTCCCCGGGACTTAAGTTCCACCCAGCCTCCCCCCAGCGTATAATATAGCTGTACCCGTGCCCCCCTCCCTCCCTCTGAACTTAAGTCCCTCACGAGCTTCACTTAAGTTGCGCCCGAACTTAAGTTCCGTGCTTGTATGCACCACGCCTGTATGGCCTGCCGCTTATACATATCTCCCTCACTCCGCCAACCACTTAAGTCTTGCCAGATCACTCAAGTTCACCACTTGAGTCCCATTGATCACATGAGTCCTGCACATGACTTAAGCCCCGGCATCCACTTGAGTCCTGTAATAAAATATAATTCAAACTTAAGTTTTGTCACTTATATCAAGTTCCAGGTTGATAAGCAATATGAAACATGCCACTGAACGGAGTCAAGGGAAGGGAGTATTCAAGGGCCTTATATATGTATGAGCAGCATGTCACTTGTGCCACACATTGTGTGTCAGTTTCCCACTTTGGGACACAATGGTGTTCATTGTGTGTTAAAGACCATCGTGTGGTCAATTGCCATTCTGAGAAGATGAACAATGGAGTGTTGATTCAAGTGGCTTGATTGTCTTTGTCCAGGTGGCATGGTGGCCGGGTTGGATATATATAAGGCCTTGAAAACTCCTCCTCCCAGATCGGTAAGTTTGTCGTCTTAGTCTATACGCCTCTGCTGCGTTCCGACACTCAGCCTGAGGTAGCGGTAACGCGAGCCCGCCGAAACGGGCCCCGAGTATATAGAGATCGGCTTCGTAAATTCACGGCGGCGAAGCCCCGAGTGAACAGCAAATTCTGGAGAACACACGAAGAGGGGATGAGCATCGACAGATACTTCCAGCGCGGGGCGCTTACCTTGTGCGCGAGGGTAGAGGCGAAGCCAGCAATCGCACAAGGACATGTCTCACCGAGCTGAGACACCTCTGAATCAGCCTCCGCTAAACAATAGCACTGAGACAGAGTCAGCTCGGTGCACGGTGCGACGGAGTCGACTTACTCCGCGGATAGGAAGCACGGCGGAGCCGTACATAACGGCGGCGAAGCCGCCGCTCACGTGTCGAGTAGGCGCAGAGGCCTCCGAAAAACCTCCCTACCCCTGGAATCCGGTTTTACTCCAATCAATGATGCTAACGACTATCAGTCACGTTGTCAATAAAGGCAAGGCGGCAAAACGGTGTGCAATTGCTAGTTTCATTTTGATATACAGAACTGAAGTTCAGTCTAGCAGTAAACGGAACTGAAGTTGTGGATACACGAACTGAAGCTCAGCACGAACTTGAGTGTACCGGAGAACTTAAGACGGGCCGGACTTGAGTTGCAGGGGAAGTCTTAAGTTCGGCGGAACTTAAGTACCACATTATGTTTTTGATACTCCTATTTGATCTTATTTGAAATCTCGAGTCTTGTCCAAACTTAAGTCCAGATACGAGAACTCAAGCTCTGGATTCAATATGGAAGGGGGTAGCGTAGTACATATAGCAGAGTTAAAGGAACTTAAGTCCCGTGGGACTCATGAGTGCAGAGGGGGATACTTTCGGTCAGAACTTAAGTTGAGCTAATAAAGTATTTGACGCTTTACACACCCAACTTCAGGATACGACGTATCCTTCGGCATGAAGCCGCACACGATCAAATTTCCGCCGCGGCAAGCGTTTTCTCAAACTCGACTCTCGCCGATACCTCCTCCTCCGCCAAAAGAAGGAAGGAAAAAAAAATTGAATTGTCTCCCTAGTTGTAGTTTATCTGTGTAGGTAGATAGTTCAAAAAAAATCAACCCGGACAAAGTTGAGTGAAAAGGAGATACACGAAAGGGCCATCACCCGACCCCGAATCGAACAGAGCCCTTCTGCCTAAACTTCATTCATCAGGGGCAGCCATGAAGTAGCAGACGCACACCTTGTGCCACCGGGTGCCTGCTCTGCATACCCCATTTCAAGATACGAGGTATGAAGCCGCACACTGGGACAAAAGCGAATAATCGAGCGCGCGATCAAATGGCCGATCTCTTCAATCTCTAGTTCTAGTTCAGCTCTACCCCGGCCACATCAAGCGTCCTTGGTCTCGACTGGTGACTCCACCAAAATAATCGACAATCGTATAATCGAACACAGATAATTGACAATGAGGGATACAAACTCGATGGATGTATGTATGAGGTGATGCATAATGGATGGATGGATGTGGGTTAAATACTACCGTTGCGTTTGCGTTGCGCGTTGTGATATGTATGGATGTGTAGGTTGTGTGTAGGCAGTGTGGGTTGTGTAGGTTGATTTACGAGACGAGAGTGAATGAGAGGAATGAGGGAACGAGGGGAATGAAAGGAATGAGACGTGACAGGTTGGATGGACGGATGGATGGATGAATGACATGGGACGGGACAGGTTGGATGGATGGACGGACGGATGGGCGACGGACGAGAGGGATGAACACTACCACTCGAACTCCCTACACGCCTCACGTCAGCAACGTACCCTCAAAAAGGGAACCACCAAGACTTACCCCGTACACCGATTAAACAGATAATCCTTTCCCCCGCTATGCACCACGCCGTCCTTGAGCACGCACTTCCAGCGGTTCTTGACGCGCACGACCTTGTCGTACGTGCAGAACACGATGTCCGTCTCGGGCCCGCCCTCGGCGTCCGCGGCGTCGTCCTCGTTCTCCGTGTCCGAGTCGTCGAGGTCGCTGGTGATCGCCGAGTCGTCGGCCTCCTGTTGCGTCGGTGTGGGTGCAGGGGGCGGGGCGAGGGAGGGGTGCGCGGGGCGCGGGGGGTACGCGCGCGCCCCCGCCGGCTCGTCGTCTTCGTCTGAGGAGGCAGAGGAGGCGGAGGGCCCGTCGGTCTGCGGGAGGCGGTAGAGCCCGGCGTGCTGCAGGCTCGCGGGGAACGCGGGGAAGCCGCTGCCGATGCCGAGCTGCGGGCCCGGGAGCGGGGGGAGGGCGTACGCCGCGTAGCGCGCGTCGGCCAATCCTCCTGCGCCGCCGCCGACGCCACGCAGGTCGACGGGCTCGGTCTTGACGGTCACGCCGCCAGGGACGCGCGGGGCGGAAGGGGGGACGTACGCGGCGTAGGGCGGGAGGCCGCCGACCACGGAGGCGGCGGACGTACTGGCGGAGGCGGAGGCGGGCGGGCGGGCAGAGGCGTGGGCGAGGGCGGCGGTGAGCACGCCGAGGGCGGCGGCGGCGGTGGGGGCGGGGTACGGGTGGTGCGCCTGCGCGGGCTGGGCGGGCTCAAAGTCGGCGACGCGCGACGCGATGACCTTCGTCTCCCATTTCTGCGCTCGTCTCATATCAGCAGAGACGGGAAGAAGGAGGGGAGGGAAGGGTGCGTACGTGCTGGAGCTCGTCGAGGATGTCGTCGGCGACGCCGAACTCGTCGAACGCGGGGCGGATGGCGGCGATCACGTCGTCGATGACCGAGCGGTAGATCCCCGGCTGCGGTGCACGCGGTCAGCGGCGGCGAGGAGAGAGAGGGCAGACTCACGACGATCTTGTTGGACATCGGGGTGTGGTGGTCAAAGGAGAGCCGCAGCGAGCGGCCGACGCCGCGCACACTGATCGCGCTTAGTCACATTTCCATAACAAATCCCCTTTGTTTCCGCTTTCGACGAATGTTGAATTGCGTTTCTTGGAGCGCCTCGCCGCCGCGCACGACGCGCAGCCAGATTAATCGTTATCGACGCGCCCGGGCGCCTACACCGCACGGCCCCCGGCCCGAGACTCCACGATGACCTCATCGCTCCGCGCGCTGTTATAGCTCAGCAAGGAGCTTGTATAATAGCTGCCTCACCACCTAGTCCTCTCCTACTTGCCTCCTACTCCCCGCGATGCCCCTCTTCAACCCGCGCCCCTCCTCGCCCGACGCCGACTTCGTGCACGTCCCCGCCGTCCCCCAAGAGGCGGGCGTCCCAAGAAAAAAGTATATCATGCTCGTTTGAAGACTCACGACGATCTTGTTGGACACGGCGGTGTTGGTGGTCAAAGGAGACCCGCAGCGCGGCCGACGCAGCGCACACTGCTCGCGCTTAGTCACATTTCCATAACTCTTTCTACATTCGCCCCGGGCAACAACTGTCTGCAGCCTAATCTTGGGCCATGATCTTCGGGGCTATCCCTCGGACTCTGCCCGCCTTCACTGTCAACGGGCCAACTATCGGCTATACCGATTGCTTCTGCTGCGTTTCAATCCACGGACCGCAATATCGTCGCTTCCCACTAACTGCCAAAGCCTCTACGGAGGTTACACTGTACTCGGCATTGAAGCCTACACTACCTCCCAAGGAAGGGCGGCTGCTCTATGGCATGCATGCATCCGCACCTAATTAGCGGGGCCGACGTCTCTCGCACATCTGGAAACGGTGCAGCGCCTTTCTCCGCCGCCTTCCGGGACTCAGGCGTCTATACTTCACTGAACTAGGGCTACTCGTCGGCGTGACATTACCTCTGGCACGGCGCTGCGCGACTCTATCTAGCTGGCAAACAAAAACAAGGCTCCTGGAGGGATATTGCCTATGCACTGTCAGTCCCAATAGAGCTGCCCCCGCTGCCCGCACCTTCGCCAGAGAAATGTGTCGGGCCGCGGGCGCGCCAAAGCTGCCCGCATTGCGGCATGGAAGCTGTCCGCAGTGCGGCATTGAAGCAGTCCGCAGTGCGGCATGGAAGCAGCTCGATGTGCGGCACTGAAGCAGCTCGACGCACAGGTCTGCGTCGACTCGTCTGTATATATATATCTATACTTCACGATCGACGGGCAAAGAAGATCGCGCCGCTACCCGCAGCCCAAAGCAACCCGGCGACTCGCCAGCCGCACCCTCCAGTTGAGCGCACGCGTAAATGCCCCCCGTGCAATTCGGGTGCATGCACCGTTCTTCTTCTGCGGAGGCACAGAGAGTCGTCGGGAACGCAGGCACCATTTTGTGCACTCCGTTCGTACGATGGAGCCCA